CCAAACTTGATTTTAACTCAGGGTCGCAATCCTGAACAAAAACAGGTAATCCTAAGCATAGCTCAGATGGCACATCCTGTATATAGTCTGAGTCAGCAGTAGGGCCAATTTTTTTTCATCATTCACATTGTAATACGGAAATACACAATGGGACATGGATGAAGTAAAGTACCCCAGCATTGTAATTTTCAGATGTGATTCTCTTGTCAGCATGTTCTCTTTTCATGGGTGTGAGATACAAGAAAGACTCTGTTTTTCATCAATAACAATGTCAATGATGCATGCTCAAAGTCAATATTTAAAGGTCAGAGGCTTCTGGTGTCCACAGGTATCTTCCAAAACATCACATATTACAGGATTACATATTGTATATCACTTTTCAGAGAATATTGATTACCTGTATCAAAAAAGAGGTTTCCAACTAACCATTTTAACTGAGCAACCCAAATGTATATCAATAATGAACAGTTTACATATCATATAGTTTATGTATGTACAGTATAAATCACCTCATTAATGTAATGTCTGGAAAACCATGGTTAGTCACAATTGCCAAATCATGGACTTCCTAAAACACTTCATGCATTTTAAACACTGTGTTATTATTTGCCTACTATTTATTTCAGGTTCTGATAGCTGCAATCTCTCTAAAAACCATAATAGTAAAGTTGCGTTTGGCAGTAGATTTCCACAACTGCAGCTTTTATTAAGGGAATATTTAGCAGTATATCTGATGCATGATAAAAAAATATACATAATAACAAAAGAAAAAAAGAAAAAGAAAACTTTTACTAGAGGAGAATAATTATTAATTTAGTGAGCTGAAGGAAAAGTTAAGCAAATGATGCATTTGTAATATGTCCAACTGAACATTCCTATGTATAAAAAAACAGAATATCCCAGGTCTTAACTCAGCAAAAGCAAAAGGCAGCTACTTGCAGTGTGTAAGAAAACATTTGTGGCCATGCACTTCTCAAATCTAATATCACAATCAGCAACTTATCTTTTTCTGAAAGAACAGAAGGAACAATTCTCCAGTTGGCTGTCCTTATCAACATACTGTATAAAGACAGCTAGCAGAAGGAGATGTATAAAGGATGAAAGCTTGATTATAAAGCAGTGAGGCGCCACAAACAGCAAGAAACAAACATGCAGGACACATTCAGAATAAAGACATTCACAATGAATGTTAAAAAAGTAGGAAAAGAGCAGTCTATATCAAATACAATTGCATTTAGCTGTCTCTTACTATGAAGAAGTAATAGAGTAATTAATGTTTCTCCTTTGTCAAACGTGGCTTTGAACAATCATAACTTATTCAAACATTAATTAAAGTCAGGCATTAAAGACAGTCAAAAGGTTGCATTATCTATACTGACCTATCATTTCTTTGCAGTGTTTTAACATGTTTGAAGGGTTTTCATTTGAAATATTCAAATAATTTACATTGTAAATGTTTGGCTAAGAAATGAAGAATACTTTTTAGTGAAAAGTTATTTGATCTTTTTTATGACTACACTGTACATTCTCTGAACCTCCTTCAATGAGTTCCTCCGAAGTGCCACACTGATATTCATGAGGACTGAATAATTGCTTAAATGATTATTTTAATTAGTTCTAGATTAGTCTGATGCATAGCTATATACAATTTGAAGGACAGGATATACATTATCTCTCTTAACAGGCCATCTCATAATTTTAAAAGAACACTTTGAATTAGAATTATTATTCTATTGCATAGTGTAGCATCCATGCCATTTTTACAGCTATCATTTGTTTCTGTAATGCATTAAGCTGGTAAAGCAACAATGTGTTTTGCTTTCTATCCATTCACAATAATATAAAATGTGATTAATAATGCAACAAGTTATTAGATGAAGAACATTAACCACATCATTCATATGATGATTTACATTTTTTTATTCAAAACTAATAAAATATGAAATTTGGACAGACCCTACCTTTCGTTTCTCCAAATTCAATTCAGTTTACTGTTGTTATTGCTCCCTAGAATGTCATCCAAATGTTAAGTGATTTTAAAATGCCTTGTATTTTATAAGACAGAACAACCTTTAAAAATTCCGAAGGGAAAAATACAAGGTTTTTGCTGATAAAGGCTAAATGATCAATTTTACAGACATTAATATACATATTTTTGATTTATAGACAAAATATTTGCAAATTATATCTTCAAACAATATTCTGTTACTCAAAACAGAACAATAAATGTCAGAGTCCTTAAGCAGTACTTCAAGAAGGAAGATATGAGAAAATAAGGAATTCATATTTTCTGATATAAAATAATATCACCATTTGGTGCACATGGTTCAATAGCCTTATTAAGCACACAAAGAGTTAAACTATATTCCTTTGTAAACAATTTGTCCACTTACTGACAAACCTAATTATGCACCTGTGTAGATATTTATACCGTTGATATCTTAAGTGTTGGCATGCTATGTTTGAAATTAGTAATTGGAATTTGTGCTCTTCATTTGACTTTGTGACTAAATATCCTTTCCACAACTGAAAAACTGTTTTCCCACACTGTCCAGATCAGGCATAAAACCACAAACCATTTTATTTGCACATCTGGTTTTGCTTTACAACATATTGACCAGATCCATCAGCATAAATATTTGTAGAGATGTGAAACTAGAAGACCACTGATGCAAAAAGTAAATCTTAATCCTGTAAAATCATATAACCATGCAATAACATAATGTATGCTTTGTTTTTAAAACAGTTATGTATCTAATACACCCTAGGGTTTGAAAGAACTTAATATTTTATAAAATAATGACTTGACTAAGCCAGCCCTAAAGGCCTCACTCTGGGCCATTGGCAATAATTTTTTGGAGGGTGTTCTGACTGAATGAATATTGAAGCTGCAATGTATTTAGGTTTTGTACAAGCTGGTTGGGTTGTTAGTAACAAGAACATGGTGACTCCAGATTGGCAAACCAAATGAAGATACTTGTTCTGAAAGCAAACAAAGCTTACAGTTCAGACAATACTGCATCAAGCCTGGGCAAAGACACTCAGAGGCGGTGATGGAGATTCCATCAGTGGCAATGCACAACTTTCCAAGAATTCTCTCACACTTCTCCACAAAAGGCACTTCTGTACCACGACTGAGGGTATAATGCTATCAATAAGAACTACATTTTCCAAGCAATTGGGGTTGACTCTCCTGTAAGGCACTGAGGAGTTTGCTTGGTTACAAATGGAAAATGGTTAAACCATGGAGACTTAGGAGGTGCGTCATAGTGGTATGGGTATGTCCCATCTTGAGCCCGCTACTTGCTGGGGTAGGTTTTGGCTTCTCTTGGGTTCCGAAGTGGTTAGAAAATGCAATGATGGATGGAATACCAGTATGGTATTAGCAAATGAAAACAGAACTTTTACTTGGATAAATATTTGGGTCATAATATTATAATTATACTCTTATAGAAATTATTATCTTCATTTGTGGAATGGATTTTCAAAACATTGAACTTATTTTTATTCATAAGATGATATGCAAACAACAACAAAAAAAAATGATGCAGAAACTAAGGCCATTCAAAATGTGTTTTTTTTTCTCCCAAAGACATGTTGACAAAACACATAGAAAATGCTTCATTTCCTTTTATTTCATGCGAATCTTATCTACTCCTCTTTAGTTAAGTGAGAAACATAATTCCAGAAAAAAAGATGCCAAACCAGTTAAAGAGACTTGGTTTCTAGGGAATAATTAAAACTGAATTCCTTTGATAGTGTATTATACAACTGCCTTTCTTTGCAATGATCCTTTTCCAATAGCGTTCCTGGATCCTGACTAGAGACTCTTTGTATAAAACTGGGCAGTATCCTCTAGCAAGGCCACAGTTTATTTAGAAGGCCAAGCTGAGCTTTATCTCTCTATACAGTCTGTCCTGAATATAGATTTTCTGGAGCCAACCATAGACAGAAGACCGATGTTTTTTTTTTTAAATGCTCCCAATGTCTTTCTCACGAAGGGATTAGCATGCTCAGCCATTTAATTCGTTTTGCTCCACCCAGGATGACTAAGATTATTAGCAAGGGAGTCACTGAAGGAAAAGAGGAAAAAGATTTAATCTCATTGAAGAGCAAGAAGGAACCACACATTTCAACACAATTTAGCTTCTTAAAGTAGCCCTGCGTACTACAATACAAAATTCAGTGCAGAGTGTAAACTGGAAAAATTTAAGTCCTATACTATATACTGAGAATGATTGGTACCATTACTCATTTGTTGCATTTGTTTTACTTTCTCTCATGTATTTTAAATAGCCAGCTCTTAAAATGCTGTAATTTCTATTCCACCTAAGCCCTATCATGAACACAGTTTCATACAATAACCTGTAACCCAGTACCTAGTTGAGGGTGTCAGATATACTGTACAATATGTTTAGTCATTCATACTGTACTACTGAAAATGTTGATTTTTGTTACTGTCAACTTATAAATTTGCTAATATCTAAGATCATATAGTAATTAAGAAAGTATTTTCTCTTACAACTCTATGAATAATGTAAGCGTAATTGGAAATTCACATTTCAAATATAAGCACACCATAACTTAATTTCTAAGTGACTTTAACATAAGAGACCATAAAATATCTTAAATATTTTTATTTTCAATCATAGGCTATTTTGTTTCATTCCTCCAAAATGATATACAGCATATGGAAAACATCAAAGATAAAAGTGAATGTCTGCTTCATTGATACTAGAAAGGCAGAGAATAAAATCAAAAACGTCTCTGGGAAACCATTTTAAGAGTTCCCCCAAGATTAAGAGAACAATGGAATGATTTATCGTCAGAGCATGAAACATCCTCCAAAGATGAAGTTCTAATATGGCCATGGCAAACTATCTTGATTAGACAGACCAAGATTTGATGACAGGTTCTACATGTTTGCACAGAAGCAGCAGCTGAAACTGAACAACAGCACTTGAAAGTCTGGATAATCAGTAGAGAAATATCAAGCTTACCTTCAGTGTGAATGGCTGAAACATAGGTCCAATTATACCTCTTTACAATGTCCACCATTGCCCGGGCTTGCTGAGCGTCTGAGGGAACCACTCTCATGAAATACTTGAACAGTGTTTTGTCACTTAGGTCCATGCTTGTTGCAGAATAGGCAATTTGAGGTATATTGAAAAGTTGGAGCAAATTCTGTACCTGAATGGCGACAGAACTTGAGCCAGGGCCTATTACCCCAACAATGGGCTTTTTGCCGCGCATTGGTGTGCTGTTACTCTCAGAGCAGCGCATCATTCCCTCTTCTTCCTCGGTGGAGACAAGCGAATCCCTTATGAACTCAATACTCTGCTCCAGGGCCACTGCTGAATGCCAACAGGAATCGCGAATTTCACATCCCAGTGTTATATTTGGCAAGATTCTGTTATCAGAATTGATCCTGTCAAGGGTATGGAGCATGGCCTCAACCCTCTGGATGCCATATTGTTCCCTGATCTCTCCACATTTTCTCTCATGGACCTTGTCAGCAGGGGGTTGATGGTGGACGGAGAACAGAGCCCCAATGATGATGTCTCCCGGAACATGAGCAACCACCCTCCTTTCATTTGACTGCGCATTGACCAGGAATGCAAAGTTTATGAAGCCAATCTCTTCAGACAACAAAATCACTAGCAAAAGCAAGAAGCTCATTTTAAGAAAAAGAAAAATATCCCTAAGCTTGGGGAAACTTCATAACTGGAGGAGATACACCAGGACAGGAAAAAGATATTTAAAGAACCTTGTGTTCCACTCTGGACATTGTAAACCATTCATTTGTCTGGCATTTCAACACAGTGCCTAATGAAGAAATGTTGTCTCCAAGGCAACGTCTTATCAAAAAAGAACATGTGACAGTAGGCGTCATAACCTTTGAAAGAGATAAAAAAAGAGTTAGAAACAGCAATTTTCATTAAAGGTTCTACTATACAGTATATGTATTTAAAAGGAATGTAGGTTATTTTTGTGAGCACATCAAAAATGGAAATATCTTGTCCTGTCCTGTCTTGTTGTCTTTTATTAAATTGATACTGAACATACTGTATTTTGAATTATATTTAAGTCTCCTGAGAAAATTATGCAACGGTATTGTATTTTACTTAATGAATTATTATTTTGTATTCTGAAACAACAACCACTTATTTTAAATTACTCAGTAGAAATGACCAGAAATGCAAGTTTAGACAGACCAAGATTTGGTCTCCACCTTCAAGAATATTATAAACTTATATAAGTCTTTAGGCTTTGAATGTCTGAACTGAGATTGCACTATGAACACATATACAGTATGTCTGATTTTATTCACAATACAAAACAATTGTGAATCATTTAAGTGTGTTAAGGCAATTATTTTGACAACTGAAACCAACAGATTGCCTACTTTACAATCAATGTCTAAAAATATTAATAGTGTATGTATACAAACATATCCATTTCTTGTAGCATTTACAGAAATTTGAACATTTTGGGTTATCTGATGTTACTTATGAGTTACTTCTGAAAGCATCCATTTGAAAAGGCATGATAAAAAAAACAATAAAAGTTAATCAAATCTAATGATATGCACATCTCAGATGTCAATAAACTACAGGGTCTGCATGTTTTAACATTATTTCTTTCCTTAAAGGACTGACAAAAATGAAATGGTATGAGTGGTGTTTTGTGCATAGAAAATGCTGCTTATGCTCCATAACTGTCAAGACATCATCTTTAAGAATGAGAGCTCTTTAACGATGGCCAGATGGGCAGACTGATGGGTGAATGAGTAGCTGATTGTTTGGCACAGATTATATACCAAATAAAATAAGTTAAAAATAAGTTAAAAAGAGTGAAAAATGCATCAAGCAGAAATGGCTTTCAAGATCATACCCTTTGATCACAAATTTTCTGAGGTTTGTCCCTTTCTTTCTGCAAATTAAGAATACATTCCAAACCACAAGAAGAACGTCACACAATAAATCACAAAAATAATTCCACAACACACTTCCCATCAGAATCAAAACAGATTACTCATCATTGTATTACTCTATCCTACTAAGCTTTCTGCTGACATCTCATAGAAATGGTCATTATGTTGTACAGAGACAATATTTATGATTTATAACACCATGCAATAACTGTAGAACAAAACCAAAAGTTCAAGAGTTTCTTGTTTGATGCGAAGGGCCCCTTGAGTAGGAGTGACCATTGGTGTGTTTTAAATTACCAATTTAGAACTAAAAAACTAAATACAGGCTTAACAAATCACCATGAAGATTATTTTTATGTATTCTGGACATCTGTAATTTTATTTCAAAATGTCTAAAATAAAAGTACACTTAATGCAGAACAGTTAGATATATATAAACTACACACACAGGGGCACAAAGCAATGCTTTGAGTAGTAATGTCCAATGAAAGCAGTATAATAATAATAATGAATTATTTCAACAATAATGAATCAACCCAATGTGTTTTCGCGACCACTCATTACTTATAAAAAGTACAGTATATGTCTATAATGTACATTCCTTTGGAAACAATTTAAGACAACTTCATAAGCTTATTCATCTTAATTGTAAAGCGTATTTTTGTCTTACATTGACCAAATTGCTCTTGTAGCCACAAAAAATAATTTAATTTTTCTGATTTGTATCTGTTCAATGCAACAAATTAGCAGATGTTCTTGTTCGGTCTGTGGTCAATCGGCCGTTTGAAAGTTGTAAAGGTTATTATAATGACCCATAGTCTGCATTACACAAGTTTAGCCTGAGTCCTTGGGAGCTGTTCATGGTGCTGAAATCTGTATAGTGGGAGGAAAAGCTCATCTTCGATAACGCTAGTCTTGCTATGTGAATAACAATGTATTTATTCCCTGTGACCATTATGTAATGAAACGTAACACATCTGGTAAATTTCCCTATTTACCGCCGTACAGTATAAATATATGAAATCCAGTGAATGATAAGGATTTTAACTGTGACACAATAACCCTTACGATAAGGACTGAACACAAAAACGTCGGTTTAAAAAGTAACTATAATGTTAGCGGCATGCTTTAATACACACTGCAACATTTAAATACATAATCTTTAATGCTAATGATTTGGTACACCTAAATAATAAGAACAAGCCAATGTCCTAAATGAAATCCAGGTGAAATGTCCTCGATTAACAAGTCCATCAACACATATCCGCGCTTATAGCAACACGTTTTCATTGTTATGCGAGAACAGCATTGTACAAAGGTGACTATTAAATCATAAAAACACAAGTTGATTATCTAAATAACAATGTTATATTGTTTTCTCTTTATAATGGAGGCGTAAAAATACAAAAACGTTCTCGCAAAGGGGCATGGATTCCTAAACCTCTGAAGATTTACAGTAGAACAATTTAATTCAGCCCATTGTCTATCAATACATGAAACCGAGCTAAAATTACATCCTTACCTTCCTTGATTCTCTCATCAATTGAAACAAGCGATTGTGCAGCTGGTGTCTTTCTTTTTGATAACGACTCACTAATTTCACTGCGAGTCTGGAATCACTATCCTGGCAATGAAAGTAAAAACACCTCGTCTGGTCTTCAGTCACGCAGCATGCTGATTCTGAATGGTCACAGTTTCCCCCCCTAAATTCTATCGTAACTTGCGTCAGGTTATTGAGTAGCTTTGTCGGCATTTAAAGACGCATACGTTCCTTTTTAAATTGATTTTCCCCCCTTAATTTGTTAAAAATTATCTTTGGACTCCTTTGATCTGGAGTCAGAAAACCCGACTGCAAGGACAGTGTATTCTGTAAATTCAATGAATCGCCCTGTGGCTCTCCTTGTAAACGTCTTCAGTTGGACTTTTAAGAATAACCTATTTTTGGTTTTATTCTTTCACCCCATCTATATCATGAAGTACTCCAACAGAAGTGGAAACGTCGGTTTCTATGCGATTTTTTTTACAGGGTAGTACTGCATACTATTATTGATCCAGTAACCTCGGGACTGTTGACAACCGGTAATGACACTGATCAATCAAAAATAGCTGCTGCTTTTTGTTACTGTTTACAGTACTGTATATTGTCTCGATGACGGGAAATTATACTTAAGATGTACTTCAGCTGTAAAGATATCTTTTTAAATATTTACATGTAATTGAGTTTTTGGAAAAATACTGTAATTCACGAGTACCACCTCGCGGCCATGTGAATGGATTGTTTTCTACCACCTCCGCGTAGCGGGCAATGTTAAGGAATTTCTGAACGCACCCGTAGAAACACTACGCTTTAACCCCACACATCATAATCAAACTTTTAGAGGTCACATGTCACCGATTACTCTGGGTCTGTACAGGTCAATGTGTTAATGGCTGCTGATGTTTCTTGTAATTTTTTACATCTTTGATACTAGCAGATACATCTATAGTGACATTCTGTACATGTCTGTACACTCACTACTCTTTCTGTACGCTCTGTCTTTTGCAGCACCAAAGCTGTTATAATAATTCTTAACAATTTAGCAGATGAGCGGTATGCTACACTCCTCTTCAATTTCACTAACCCTCTCCTTCTGTTATTACTGCACTTCAAGTACCATCGTATGACCCCAAACTAAACTGAATTCCACGGCGGCAATTCAGTTATACACAGCATAGTCCCATATCATTTGTGAAGGATGTGGTACCTGCGGGTATTCATAGCACAAACTGTTTTTGTTCCATTTTAACCGATTGTGCTGCTATACGCTGAACGCTTTGGCTGGAAAAAGAAGGCGAAGGACCGTCTGTCTGGATTGTGCGGCGAAATGCTGTGGATTGCGTACCGAATACGGTGAAGAATAAAAATAAAAAGCATTTTGGTGAAATTAAGAACTGAAATAAAACACATTGGACAATTATGATTAAAAAAAATCACGAACATGTACTGTAAGTCCTCCAAATTACAGTGATGGAGCTGACATACACATTCTGGGTATTTTGTTCATCAGTTGGACTGTATGCCGCATAACTCTTATTAGAATGAAATGAGTCTGTCCGGCATAGAAAAAAAAAAACAAGGTCCCACACAAAACAGACGATGCTGTCATGGCTCTATTACGAATCAATGGGAACATTTTTCCTACATAATTCGCAGAATTTTGCAGAACTGTGTTCGTGTAATGGTGCTATTTGCAAATATACACATACACAACGTGTAATCACAACGTGCTCGTAAAACATGCTTTTCTCCCTTTAGCTTGTAAATATTATTGAGCGCTGTCCGTACAGCATATTGCATTGTAGACCAAGTAAAGGTAAAACGGCGCGACTTGTCTGAAATCTCATTAATTTGTCTTGTAACAGTTCACAGGAAATCAGCACTCAGTAAAACGTGCCTGACTTGTGTGCAGACTAAGAAATGTTTCCCAATATACCACATTTGTTTTAGGCAAAAAACTTTACATATATTGTTTGTTTAAAAAAACGGCTTAAAGGTCGACGTAAATAAATCACTAATGTCCCAATCGTAGTTGTGTTAATCAGCTGCATTTACGTAAAACATTCGCCCAATTTGATTTAATGAAACATAATTTTAGGTTTCACATCAAAAGCAGTTAAAAAAAGCTTAAATGTAATTTAATTTAACTGGTGGTAATGTTTAGAAATCAAAATTATTCTCCGAACAGACTGCATTGCCAAGTTACGTGACATCGAATATCCTAAACGGGATCCCCGCACTTTCTCGAAGATCATTTATCACTGAAGAAAACAAAGGAAAACATACTATATTAAGATTAAAACAAGGAAAAAAAACTAAAAAGTTACGTTTTACATACCTGAACAGCTCTGCGCTCATGTATCCTAGATATGTGCGAATCTAGCATATTCTGCAAAGACCTCAGAACGAAAATGTGAACATCACGATTAATCCACTTTTTACCATGGCAACCGAAACATCTCTCCCTCTCTCTTTTCCTCTATCGGGTCTCTGTTTCAACATGGACATCACTATTGATAAATGAACAATCATTTTACTTTGTGTGTGAACCAATAAAATGCAATTTTGGCGATTAACATAAACATAAGCATTAATTTAACTCATTTATTTCCAGTAAGCCAAGCACAAATAGACATCAATGACAACAAAATCAGGATTAATCATGTCAGATCTCAGGGCAAACTGGATACAGAATGAAAGACCAGTAAAAGAACATAAGTAACCAATCTGAAGAAATGTCTTTGTTCATCAGTTTATTACTGCTGAATAAAAGTAAGTTGCTTTGAAATAATCACAGCTACGGTACATTTCATTGCACTCCACTATGAGTGCACAAATCTTGTCTTGCAAGGCCAGAGTGGTACTGGTTTCCCTTCCCTTCCAAGTCCTTAATTAGCTTATTTATTTCATAATTTGCTTAATGGTACAAGTTGGACAATTGTTATTAAGTAGCTGGAGATTTACAAAGACCTACTGTATAAAATCTGCTTCACAATGATTTCTGCGAACTGGAGTTGGCCACCCTAGTTCTTTATGGTTTTATTAGTTAAAATAATGGACCAATAAGACTAGATAATCTTGCCCAAGTCTTATTTTCCATCATAGAGAAACTACTTACTGTACAAGGTCATAGAGTGAAAATGTTTTTTCATCAGTAGAAGGCATGCTCAAAAACAGTTTTCAAAGATGAATTACTGAATCATTTGGGGGTGTTGGGTAAAGAGCATTTTATGTACCACCTACGTCTATGGTGATGTCTGGACAGCAGAGCCCATTGTGTCAAATGTTGAGTCACTTAGTAACTACAAAAGACCACAACAATGAGCTGTCTTAACTGGTCAATAGCATAGCAATAACATTGTAGACTGGATTCAAAAGACACAAAACTTTAATAATCCAAAACTGTATGTGTGCAAAAGCAATAAATATTCACTGGGGCATTTTCAAGTGCTACAGAATGAAAATTGCTCCCTTTTCTTATGAAAAGTAACTAGTTGTAAAGTTTTAATCTTGTAATAGATTAATGGTTATGGGAAATGTTATTTTATGTTTTCTTTTTCACTTAAATACAAAGTTGTAAAAAGAGGTAAATTTTGGGAAAACTCTTCAATGGCCAATTCAATGGACAGTTTCATCTTCAAGTCAAAATGATTCAGTAAGGTTAGTGAAATAATGTTAATTCTTGCACTTGGGATTTTTCACAAGTTACGTGATGACTAATTACCAAACCATGTCAATGTTTCTGTGCATGTAATGATCCCACCTAATTGATCAAAACTTTGAACCCTCATTTATAACCCTCAGGTTATGCTGAAATAATAGAACCTTAGCTGGATTCACATTGGACACAATTAAAAGCACTCATTGATGTTAGAAGGTTTTTAAGAAATAGACTGCAATGAAACACGCAGAACAATGTTCACAAAAGATCAGCAATATCACTGGTGATATGATTGACTTTACCTAATGCATTATATTGTCAATTATTTCAGAAAAGCCAATATTTGACAGAACTGAAAAGGTCCCAAAGTGCTGGGCTACTAAGTCACTATGGCAACCACTCACAGCTCATGGGACTGTGCCAGGAACAACATAATGGCTTTAATTGTCTTTGCGAATGCAGTTTTTTAAAAAATAATAGCAGTACATACAATTAGCAGAAGAGTTTTCTGATGTTTACTGCCCTGTTAGGTCACATAAAATGACATTATTTTATTTCACATTTTAATAGTTGTCATTCTAACTCCCACAGTGTAAGAGGAGCAGCAGCTCGACTATCAATTTATTTCAAACATAATGACTTGCAGGCAGTAGTATATTGCAATGTTTGAGTAAAGGTTAATGGCAGTGTATAGTCTTTGCATTTATCCATAGTAGTAGGTTTTGTAATGTGTGGAAATACTGTGTGTATCTGAAAATTCCTTACCAAGTCAATTCTATTATTATTATATCCAACCATTATCAGAAAGCTCACACACCACAGCAACCTAGAACCTGAAGACCCACACTCTCCCTCGCAAACGCTGTTCCACTCCTGTCACGCCCCACACTCTCCCTCGCAAACGGCATCGCATTCCCAAACCCACAGTTTCACAATCTCATTCCTGATTGAACCCATCACTTTCCCACATGCACCAGTTTCCACAAATTCTCACCCCCAAACCAATTATCCAACCGCATCCCTTTCCTTTCAGTATTTAAGGTTCCCTCTCACACCCACCCCTTGCTCACTATTGAGAAGCCTCTTGTAGTATTCTCCTGTGCGTGTTTCCAAGCCTTTTGACTGATCTCCCGTTACTAACTCTTTGCTCCCGCCTTTTGACCTCGCCTTTTGGATTGTCTTTTGGATATCTCTCATTACTGGACCCTTTGCCTCTCTTTTCGACCAAGCCTCTGGATCTCGTCTTTTGGATTGTCCCTTTGCTACTCTGCGTTCTGTGGGATTCACGGTTACGCCCAAGGATCCTCCTATTCTACCAATGGGTTCCCTGACAGAAGCATCGGGCACTATGCAGGACTGAATCTTGGACAAGGCTGCAGTCCATCCTAGCATGTATGCACACAACTGTACAGTGTCAAGTCAGAGGCACCAATGGCATAATGTACTTGAACATGGGGAGAGCATTTAAAACTGCTCCCAGAAGAACCCCTGTTCAGATTCAGACCTATATAAACC